GTTGCACATGGATGGTGTCCCTGTTTGTACTTTTGGTTTGCATTGACAAGGCCACATTGGAGCCCTTAGTTACGGCTTAGGGTTTATTAGTGGAAATGAGGCAAATGCTTGGGCTATAAAACAGTGTACTGAGTACTATCTATGTTTCGAGTCAAGTTCTTTAAAAAATTTAAAAATAAACAAAGTAACAAAAGCTATAAAATACAAAAAACCACAGTCATCACCAAGTTCGCTAAACCTATCATTCACCAATATTCGTGGTCTTCGAAGTAACTTTTCTTCTGTTGAGTCTTATCTCTTGCAAAGTTCACCAGACCTACTTACTCCTTGAGAGACTAATTTGAGTTTAGCTGTCTTATTATGTGATCTTAGTGTTGATGGTTATCTTCCTTTAATTTGTAAAGACTCCAATAGTCACATGCTTGGCCTAGGCATTTACATTCGTAAGAAATCACCAATTTGTCTGGAAACTAGGTTTGAATCCACAGACTACTTTTATATGTGCTTTAATTTAGCACCACTTTACTCTATTACCTTTCTCTTTGTTCTATATTGCTCTCCTTCATCTTAAGACTGCATTCTTCTTGATATTATTTCTGATTATATTGGCCAAGTTCTCATTTTTTATCCATCAGCCAATATTGTTGTTGTCGGTGACTTTAATGTTCATCACACTAAATGGCTTGGCTCCAGTGTCAGTTACTCCACAGGCAATAAGGCTCACAACTTTTGTTTTTCTCAATCCCTAACTCAAATAGTCAACTTTCCAACTCGATTTCCAGACAACCCGAATCATTTACCTTCTATACTTGACTTATGTCTTGTTTCTAATCCTAGTCAGTGCTCGGTTTCTCCACACTCATCCTTAGGTGCTTCTGATCATGGTTTGGTCTCTCTAAAACTATTATCTCATTCATCTTTACCATCAGAATCCCCCTATCATTGTACATCTTACAATTACCTTAAAGCTGATGGGACTCTTTCCGTGATTTTCTTCGTGATGGCCCCAGGGTAGAAATTTTTCGTCTTTCTGTTGACAAATGTGCTTTTCAATTAACTTCGTGGATTCAGACTGGCATGGAATCCTTTATTCCCTCTCGACAATTCCAGGTCTAGCCTCACTCTTCTCCATGGTTTTCCTCACTTTGTGCTGCTGCAATTGCCAATCGAAACCATTACTTGCATATCTATCAACAAAACAATTCTCCAGAAAACAGACGTCTGTTTTTTTCTGCTAGGAACCATTGTAAAAAGGTTTTGTCTAATGCCAAAGCCCGCTATTCTCAGATCATGAAATCTCGTATTTTATTGCAAAAATTAGGCTCTTGTGACTTCTGGAGAATCTTTAATAGTATCAATAATAAGGGCAAGGCTGTAATTCCACCTCTTTAGTACGGTTCAGACTTTGTCACCTCACCTAAAGACAAAGCTAAATTGTTCGCCAAGAACTTTTCATCAATATCATTTCCTGATTCCACTAGTTGCGTTCTACCTGATATAGCTGTCAAACAGGTTGATCCACTGCTCGACATCTGTATCACTCCAGCTTCTGTATTTAAAGTGATTTCCTGCTTTCTACAGCTTGCGGCCCGGACAACATACCTGTTATAGTCTTGCAGAAGTGTTCTCCGGAGCTGTCGTCTATACTTTCAAAACTATTTAACAAATGCTTATCAGAATCTTGTTTTCCAGCCTGCTGGAAAGCTGCATCTGGTATCCCTGTTTTTAAAATTCTGGAAAACAATCTAATTCGTCTAACTACCGTCCCATTAGTCTGCTTCCTATCATAAGCAAGGTTTCTGAATCTTTAATTTACAAACACTTAATCTCTTATCTCAAATCTCATAACCTAATTTCTGATTATCAATATGGATTTCGATCTTTTCGTTCTACAGCTGACTTGCTAACAGTAATAACCGATAGGTTTTATCGCGCATTAGATAAAGGTGGAGAGGTTAAGCCCATCGCTCTTGACATTTCTAAAGCGTTTGATAAAATTTGGCAACTGGTCGTCCCCATAAGCTTTCTTCTTACGGTGTATCTGGAAACACCTTTAAGATTATTGAATCCTTCCTATCCAATCATAGTTTAAACGTTGTCCTTAATGGACAGCAGTCTTCTTTTTATTCTGTAACCTTAGGGGTTCCTCAAGGTTCAATCCTTAGCCCTATACTTTTTTTAATTTACATTAACGATCTTTCAGATATTCTTACATCTAAGGTAGCATTGTTCGCTGATGATACTACCATTTATTCATGTCACGATAAGAAGCCAACTTCCTCTGATTGCTTGCAGGGGGCATCTGAGCTTGAAAAGGATCTCACTTCTGCTACAGCGTGGGGCTCACAGTGGCTGGTGAAATTCAATTCAGATAAAACTCAATTTTATTCAGCCAATCGTTATTGCAATACTTTAGACCTACCTATATTTATAAACGGTAATGTACTCGATGAGTCTCCTGCCCTTTATCTTCTAGGATTAACACTTGTATCTGATCTTTCTTGGAAACCTTGTATCAATTCCGTTGCAAAAGTAGTATCTGCTAAAGTTGCATCTCTTTATCGAGCTCGACACTTTCATACTCTGGATTCTATTCTCTATTTCTATAAATCTCAAATCCGGCCTTGTATGGAATACTTTTGCCATACCTGGGGCGAATCTTCTAATGATGCTCTTTCTCTTTTAGACAAGGTGCAAAAACGCATTGTAAACATTGTTGGACTTGCTCTTGCAGCTAACCT